TGATGCTCGTGAAATGTGAATTTTCAGTCTTTTGATGCTCCTGCTCCATGGGCTACCTCAGTTCCTAAATATAAACTAAGTGGTCTGCTGACATAATGAGAGATGATAGAAACTTGCAGGCAGCTGGAGGAGGGACTGGGACTTGGGAGTGGGGAATGTTAGCACTGCTCCAGGAAAGAAGGAGCAGTGTTTTCATCCCGGTGAAGTGACTTTAATGCCATTTTAAAGACCGCTTTGAAGAGCTTTGAAAACCCAGAGAGGGAATAGTTCCCTGCAGTTTTAGGTAGGCTGCAGTTCAAACAGCCACTTTTCATGCTACAAGTGCTGTTGAAATGTATTTTTTATTAATTCCAGCTGCAGGAGGGAGAGCTGGAAGGGGGAGAGCCGGGGAATGCAGGGCTGGTGCTGGAGCCGAGTGTGATGAGGCAATGGCTCATTAGAGCTTTTCAGCAGCCTCCCAGTGGAAGAGGAAGCAGATGAACAGGATGGAAAACAGCACCCAAGTTCCCTTCAAGGAGGGATTGGGATGATGCTCTGTTTGATTTTGACTTACAGAAGGGCCTCCCTTTGCTTCTGGAGGAGAAGCAAAAATCCACGTTGTCCTGTGGCCTGGCAGTGTTCAGCCTGGAGAAGAGAAAGCTCCAGGGAGATTTTAAAGCCCCTGCCAGTGCCTAAAGGGGCTCCAAGAAAGCTGGAGAGGGACTGACTGCAAGGCTAGGAGACCCTCCAGCCTTGGATCTGAACAAACCCACAGGTCTGGCTCTGGCAGAGATTCTGCTCTGCGCTGAAGGGTGAGCTTTGCCACCCCAGAGGTCCCTCCCAGCCACCCTCTCCATGAAGCTGGGCCTGAACTGTGCTGAGAACTTCATAAAGCTTGATAAAATACCAAATGCTGTCAGCTGGGGTGGTTCTGGCAGTCCTGCTCTGCTGGCAGTGGTGGGGTTGGAGGTGAGCAGGACGAGGGCACACGTGGAGCCTGCGCTGTGCTCGCCAGGGGAGCGTGGCCAGGGCTGCCCCGGCAGCACAGTGACCGTGGGATGAGTCACAGCTTGTCCTGAACACCAAACCGGCTGCCTGATTGTCCCCAAACCAGGCTGAAATGAAGGGAAAATGAAACCAATCCCTCCCTGAGCCGTTGTGTGTGTGATGCAGAGCTGTGGGGCAGCAGCAGGGCCTGTTGTGTGCTGAGCCAAGCAGTGAGGAGCAGGCTGGCTGTCTCACCTTGGGAACACGTGGGCTCTGCACACATGCATTTATTTTGGGTAGGCACAGTCATTTAGACCAGAGAATCAGTGACAAGGAACAGGTTCAGCCCTGACTGCCACAGACCTGCTGTGCTGGGTTCTGTCCCTGGGCTGCTGCAGCAGGAGGGTCTCAAGTGGGGCTCTGCATGTCCTCAGAGCCAAGTCCAAGCTCGCCAGCACAGGGGGGACATGGAACTGTTGGAGCAGGTCCAGAGAAGAGGTCACCTGGTTGATCAGAGGGATGGAACAGCTCTGCTGTGAGGAAAGGCTGGGAGAGTTGGGATTGTCCAGCCTGGAGAAAAGAAGTTTTGGGGTGACCAAACTGTGGACTTGCAGTGCCTGAAGGGGCTACAGGAAACATGGAGAGAGAGGGGATGGAGGGACAGGTCAAGTGGGAATGATTTCCCACTGCCAGAGGGCAGGGATAGATGGGATATTGGGAAGAAATTTCTGGCTGGGAGGGTGGGCAGGCCCTGGCACAGGGTGCCCAGAGAAGCTGTGGCTGCCCCTGGATCCCTGGGAGTGTCCAAGGCCAGGTTGGAGCAACCTGGGCTGGTGGGAGGTGTCCCTGCCCAGGGCAGGGGGTGGAACAGGGTTGGCTTTAAGGCCCCTTCCAACCCAAAGCATTCTGGGATCCTGTGAGGGTTCTCTGATCTGAGCTGTGCACATGAACCCCCCTAGAAAGTCTCCAGTAGACAAATAGTCACTCTTTCCTCACATGTGTAGAAACCACTGAGCTTTCAGTTAGATGAGACCAAAATTGTCAGAAATTGTCTTGGGTTTTTTTTGTAGGTTTTGCAGGAAAAGTAGATAATTACACAGCTCTATCATGCAAGCTTCTGATGTGATCTCCCTGGGAATCTGTTAGGAATTAGCTGGGCAGCTGATGGCTTCCAGAGTGGCTGCTTGCTGCTTATTTGTTTTATTTTTTGCTGAAAACTTTACCAGTTGTTGCCGTTTCCCATCAGGATCTGGAGCCTGTGCCCTTGGATGCAAACTGGGTGGCTGAATTCCTGGAAGCCAGTTCTGGGCAGGCTCCCTGCTGGGTGTTTTGAGGTTGCACTGATGGGAATTCACCCAAGGAAGAGGAAACAGTCACCAGCTTTGGTTCTGTTTCTTTGGTTCTTCATGTCTGTGCACGCTGTGTGCTGTGTCCCCTCGCTCTCTGTCACTGCAGGGTCCCATGAAAGGTCACTGGAAGGTTAATGACTGTGGCGAGATCCCTTCTGAGTCTCAAAAATAGCTAAATTTAGCCACCAGTGACACTGAGCTGGTTTTGGACTGAAGGCTTTTAAGATGTGGTTCTTCTTCAAGCTTTCAAGCGAGTATCAGTATGACAGAGTGTCAGTGCCTTCTCTTGGGCTTGCACATTTTGCAGTTTGCTTTACTGCCATTACCAGAGAACATTTTTACATAGTCATTTGAATATATTTTTCTCTGTTCAGCAAGTTTTCAGCATAAGTTTTCATTCTGCTTGTTGGTTTCCTCCTTTCACCATGGTTTTCATTGAAATCTCTATTATTTGGATGTGGGTCTGATCCCTCAGACTTTCTGCTCACCAGCTCCCAGTGACTTTGGTGGGAATTCTGCCTGGAGAAGACTTGCAGAAACCCTCTGTGTAATTGAATCCATCTACTCCCTCATGAAAAACTCCTGTCCCTGCTCAGTGAATATGAAAACTTCTGAAACCAGATTGAGTGAGAGAAGAAACAGCACAGAAAGAGACCACCCAAAGTCCTGGAACCGAAATAAGCACCATCCCTCTCCTTTTTCCTTATGTCAGAACTTGTGTCCATTCTCCTCCCACATGGAGGAAGAGGAAAAAAAAATGCCACAGTTATTATTAATGATTGCCAGGTTCAGCACGGGCTGGATGTTCCGTGGTTCCTCCCCAGGGAGCCGAGGGAAAACGTGGTTGGTTTTCCAGGGGAGGGGGTGGTGAGGGACTGTAAACTGCTGGAGGAGCAGTTGAGCTGCTCTCACCACTTGCTGTGGTCGCACAGGACCATCCCTGAGCGCAGCTGACCTCAGCCCACCTTCCACTGATTTCATGGAACCAAAGCACCACCCCAGGGCTTGGTATCGCGGGGGTGTTGTGCAAAAATATGGTTCATTTGTCTTGCCATCGGTGCCAGGTGGGATAGAAGGGGCTGCTGTAAATAACTCCCATGGTTTTTTACAAGAGCTCAGTCAAGGCCAAGGTAATTTGAACTTTCTCTCCCAAAATCTCTTCCTGAATGCTGGTAGTTTGGGGATGGATCTGACAGCTCCTGTGTGCTGTAGCCTATATAATTCTCTCCCTAATTTTTTTTTTTTTTGGTTGTAGTTTAATGACCAGCTTTTCTTTCCCCTTTATTGACCAGAGGGAAATCTTCCATGCAGTGGGATTGACCAAGGGAAGGTGTGTCGTGGGGCAGGAAATCCCACCCTGGGATTATCCATCGTCATGATGGTTACTGGAAATGACTGAAATAGATATGTGGGAAAAGGAACAAAACCTCAGTGAATTGGGAGCAGCCTGGGATAGTGGAAGGTGGAACTGGATGAGCTTTAAGGCCCCTTCCAACCCAAACCACTCCATGATTCTGTATCTTCTGTATGTTCATGAGAAGCTGATTGAGGTACATATTGTTGCTTTGGTTTATAGGGCTTCAAATCTGCAAATTATGACTATTCTTAGGATTTAAAAAAATAGAAAAGGGTGATATTAAGAAACAGAAACCCAGATGAGATAATTAAATTAATTGTACATGTGTAAAGAGCTGGAATGTATCCTGGGAAAAAAGGCAGTGGCTGATTGAAGCTGATGGGTGATGTGTTCTGAGAGAGAATGTTCAGTAAGAGAAGATAAGACAAGTGCATAAAACCATTAAAGGAGTGTCGTGGTTTTAGGTGAAGCAGAATTACAGGTGATTTTTGGGTCTGCCTTCCTGCTTGTGTTTGCTCTCAGCTTTATTTGGAGACTATGTGTGATTTAAAGCCTTTCGTGTTAAAATGCAATTGGATTTGATGTTTTCTGGTAGGACAAAAAACCCCAAACAAACAAAAAAGCAGTTTCTTGCTGTAAAGCCAGTCTTTTGCTCCAATGTAAACAGAAATTGGAAGGGTGTTCTGCACTGCACAGAATGCAAAATCAATTCACATTTTACAACTGCCAGGCCTGTGCTGCTCCCAGGGCTCTGTGTGCACTGTTTGAGGGGGAGTGGGGATCCACAGGGCCGAGGTGGAAATAAATTCTGCATTATTTCAGAATAACTGGAGACACAAAGCCCATGTTTTTGCTTTCAGATTTAACAAACCAAGTGGAGAGCACGGGGCTGCAGCTGCAGAAGGTGACGGCCGAGCTGGACCACTACAAGAAGCTGTTAATGTGAGGATCCCTCCCTGCTGCCTTCCCCCCTGCACCCACAGATGCACCAAAGCACTGCTTTCCACCGTGATCTGAGAAGGGTCTGACCAGCAGAGGAAATAATTCATCCTCATATTCTTATTTCTAAGCAGCAGACAAGGAAAGAGAAGCTCACAGAGCTCCATCTTCAGCCCAGTCCCAGCTCAGATATTGAGCTCAAGAGAAAGGAGCTGGTTCTGGCAATGTCAAGGCCAGCTCTCACCCCTCTTTTCCCACGTTTTCCTGAAATTTAAACAGGGTTCAGGCTGTTCTGCTCTGGACTTTCTGGTTTCTGTTCCTCTATTCAGGGGTCTGACCACAAGCAAGTGGCAAATATTTGGAATGCTTAGCAACAACGTATTTTAGTGATAATGTAAGGGTTGAGTGTGGAAAAAAGATGTCATGGACGTGGTTAAATAAACAGGGAGGGCCTTCCAAATGTAATATTAAAATTTGGATGCAATATGGGCGCAATTTCATAAAATAACATATTCTATATCTGTTTGAATGTAAATATGAAGTTAACCATGGTTATTAATTGGTGAAATGATGACATAATGACACAACACCTGCAAAGTTTCCAGCCCTCTTACCTACAAAATTGCTATTTTTCAATTTTATTAATTTTTTACTTAAAACTTTCATCGTTTGCAACATCTGTGATCCTGCTCAGGCTGAGAGGACACTGCAAGTGGAAATTCCAGTTATGAAAAATCTTACCTAGAGCTGAAAGAACTTGCTGGTTGTGGCCTTTTGAGTGAAGTAGCAAACGTGAGTTGGAAAATACAGCCAGCAGTGAGGAACAGGTTGTGCAGGAGCAAAGGCTCATTTCTTTGGATAACACACTTGTTTGAATTGATTTTTAGGGTGAAATCAACAGAACTTGAAGTCTGTCAGAATGAACTGAAGAAGATGAAATATGAAAATGGGATTTCTGAGTCCAGGTAAATGCTGAAATGATATTTTCTAATTTTTTTTTTTTTTAATAATATTTCTGAGCAGGAGAGCAAAAATTGTATGATTTTTAAAGCAGTTTTACGCAATTTTTTTTTCTATTTTTCTGTGAAATCATTACATTTAACTTCATAGCAAATACATAGGGTTTTTTTTTTGCCTAATAGTTAATTTTCTATTTCTGTCTGTAACCAGGGATAGAGTCAGTCCAATGCTGACACTTCCTTATTTTACCTGCAGGCTTACCAAAGAGCTCAAGGAAAAGGAGGAATCCCTTCTACTTTGCCAACAGGTCTGCAAACATTTACAGGAGGAAGTGGCTGAGAAGGAGAGGAAAGAAGAGGACCTGAAGAGAAGAACTGGACGATCAGAGAGTGAACTGGAGACACTGAAAACTCTGCTGAGCCAGACGGAGGAGGAGGTGGTGATGCTCAAACAGGAGAGGTAATGGCAGCTGGGCTGACGTGTCCTGAAAATTCCTGACAGTTTGGAATTCACTGGAGTGGTTTTTTTTAATTATTGGAAGATGAACAAAACTTGAATGGGAAAAAAAGAATCCTATTAAAAAAAATGGGAGAGAAAAAGCCCCTGCTTGGCTCTCCAGGGCCTCAGCTCGAGCTGAAACCCCAGAATAGCCCTCTATTCTCTTCCAGCTGCACCAGAGGCACAGACAATGATTGGTTTTCCATTTCTCTTAAAATACAAAACCATCTCGGTGCCTCTTGGCGTTTTTAAATGGTCACAACAAGCCCGCGGTTGTCAGGAATAAAAACTGGGTTTGTAGATTATGGTCAAGGCAATTGAAAAATACGGATTTAGGCTGGTAAGTCTAAAGCAAAGGCACTCAAAGGAGATCCCATTCCAGGGAAAACAACCCTCAGAAGCGCAGGGCTTTATTTTCCACATCTGCCAAGGAATTCCAGGGGAAAAGGCAGCTTTTGTTCAGAGCTGAGAACCTTAAAAATCAGACTGAACTGGTGGGAAGTTACCCTTACACTTCACTGAGTACCAGATCATATCCAGGAGACTGGAGTATTGGAATAGTTACGGCATTTTATGGTGTACAAGTTGCTAATAACATAAATTACAAGAATTTAGGCTCTCCAGGAGTTTTGCTTTACAAGGCATCACATAACAAGCAGTAACTCAACAACAGAAAGCACTCAGTGGGTTTAATTCCAAACCCGCCACATTTTTTTAATTAATGATAGCAGTGTTCTGAGTTCATTAAATGCTATTTCTGGCTTGAATAGTGTCAGCTTTTCTGTGTCCTTCAAGATTTGTCTTGAGAAATCTTGAAGAAATAGTAAGATATGGTTTGAGGGGGAAGGAAGATCAGCTGCAGTGTTTTCTGTGAGACAAGGAAGCAGGTGGTGGCCCCTGGAGATGCTGAGGAGGGGTTGCTGCTGAGGGCTGGACAAAAGGGAGAGGAATTCCAGCCCTGTGGGCAGAGCTCATCCTGACATCCAGGTGGTTGTGCTTTCCAGGGAGCTGATGGTGGTTTCCCACCAGACCAGGACGGAGCAGCTGCAGGAAGCGCTGAGGCAGAAGATGAGGAGTGAGGAGACCTGGAGGGAGAAGGTAACCCTGGATGGGCCCCTGGCACCCTCTGTCTCCTTTTTTTGGGGGCTTTTCAATTGTCACAGTGAGTGAGCACAGTGAGGCAGGGACTGATCTCCTCAAGTGCCAGGTGTCCTGAAATCCTGGAATCGTGGAATGGTCTGGGTTGGAAGGGACTCAGCCAAAAATCAGTTTATTTTTGTCGAGAACACACGAGTCTTTGTTGCCCATAAACTCTGGGTTTGCTGGTTCAGACCCATAAATTTACAGGAAATTTGTTTTGGGGAACCTCCTATTTCCAGGAGCTGTTTACCATAAACAGCTGCCACTGTGTCAGCTGTGTTCTCATCTGCAGCTTCTCCCACCAGCACCAAAAAACCCCAAAGTGAACACAGGAAATTAAAAAAAAAAATAAAATATATATATATATTTATTTGTGAAGGAAAATTTAAAAGCAGTGTTGAACAACAATTGTGAGTTGTCTGATTTAATTCTGCCATAATTGGTGAGTAAAATGACTGTATATTTTCCTTCAGTAGGTGATGAGTGTCTGAGAGCTTTATTGAGTCCCTGGGAGGTTTGGGGAGCGGTAGGAGTTCAGTTCCATCCCTTTGGAAACATCTTCACCTCCCTGTCACAGGGTGTCATTTGGGGAGGAGCTCACACTGGCTCCAAAATCACAGAGTGTTGTTCAGCCCAGATAAAGAGTGGTGGGAGGCAGAGGGAGCAATTACAGCTTTGGGATCATTAAAATGCAGCGCAGGGAAGGGCTCCAAAAATGTGCTCAGCAGCCAAAAAATCAACAACACGATAAGGGGACAGTGTTTGGTTTGGGTCACTGTGCCATGGGGAGCAGCGAGTGGGCAAGATTTCTGTTTGAAATACAGAGAAACCAGGAATTGTTTTCATTTATTGTTATTATCATTAGTATAGTAATAATATAAATATATTTTGTCACTAAAATAATAACAATAACAAGGAGGAGGAGAAGAAAAGGGAGAAGAGTTTACCTTGAGGATTTTAAAAATATACAAATTCTAAGCTAAACCTTAGTGGAGGGTTTGCACTTATTCCACCCCATAATTGCCTGCATTTTGATTTTAAAAAATAATGAAAAATATTTCCAGTCTATCTTTTCCCCACAGAGAAGAGAGTTTAGAGAGATTTGTTATCCTTTTGCTCATAATTAGTGTGTGAAATTAAGATAATTGCAATTAAGCTCATTCTGGGCTTTTCTGCTTTTATTACTTTGAAGTAATTGGGTTGGGGTTGTGCTCTAAATGTGCCTCTCAGCCTGGTGCAATTAAATCCACCAGAACCCAGGCTGCACAAATAGCACATTAACATCCTGGGTTAGGAAAAGTATTTTCCTACACACAGCCTTCAGTATTTCCTCCAGAATCCGGGCTCTTCTGTTCAGGAAATCCTGGCTGAGCGTTCAGGTTTGAGTTTCTGATGTTCATTTTCTGAGATGCTTTCGGGACTGGGATGTTTTACCCAGAACTTGCAACTCCTTCACTTTGGGTTCTCCATTTTTTGAGCCTGGCCTGGGCAGTGACCCATTGGCACAGCACAGGTGTATGGGAGGTTCTGGGGAGCTCCCTCTAACGCTCCTTTCCCTGGATTTCTGGTATTTCCAAGCAATAAAGTCCCTCCCTCCCCAGCCCGCTCCTCGATTTGCCTTTGGAAGCGACGCCCACAGGCACTCAGTGTGTTCCTGGGGATTTAGTGGGACTCCAGTGGCCTGAATTTAGGGATGTAGAAGCCCTGGAGCCTGCTGGGCTGGGAGCTGTGGGAGCTGTGGGAGCTGTGCAGCAGGAGCTGTGCAGCAGGAGCGTTCCCTGGCCGTGCTCCAGGGGGTCAGGAGTGTTCGTTCGGTGCCCGGAATCCCAGGCTGCCAAATCCCCCCTCCCTTCCTTTAAGGAGCGAGTTTGGGGTTGGTGTGACTGAAACCCTCTCGTTCCCCAGCTGGAAATGGATCTGGCCAAGGGAGAGGCTCGGCAGAAAGAGGCAATTCTGAAAGTCAAGGAGGAGGCCAGGGTGGAGCTGGACCTGGAGAGGCAGAAACAGCAGGAGCTGATCACAAAGTACCAGCGAGACCACGAGGAGCTGCAGAAGAAGGTGGGGAATGCTCAGGAGAAAACTCCCGTGGCAGCACATCAGATAAAACTGCTGAAAGCCGGAATGGGAAGCAATAAAACCTCCTTTATGTGTCATCTTCCATGTCTAGATGATCTATTATTTTTCCCCAGTCTTAATATATGACCTGTGTTTAATTTTTTTTTTAATGGAACAGGCTAAAAAATAACCACTGCAGTTCAAGTGAAATGGTGTGGAAATTCTTTACTGTCTCATATTTTCTCTATCCAGAGTCCGTTTGTGACCCTGGATTTCAAGTTTCAATCTGACATCATCATTTTGCAAAACTTTGTGACTGTTTCAGGCTATGGTGAGTTCCCACAAACCCATCCACGTGGTTTTTCCCTTCCCACAGGGCCACTTCCCACCCTCTGGGCTCCGCTGGAGGTGGCACCACGTGGGGTTGGCCATTCCCAGCTCCCCAGAGCTCCAGATTCATGAGTTTTATGTAGAAATTGAAACGCTGTACCTGTAACCTTTGCAAAGGACTTGGCACGATTCTGGAGAAATCTGGGGGAAAAGGAAAGGAATTTGGTGAAATTACACTGTTATTTAAAAGTTATGACTTGGCAGAGAGTTTTAAAGATGAAAAGAACTCTTTGCCTTTGTTCACTTGACAAGTATTTGATTGTGATTTTAAGACTGAGGAAATACTGACTTGAAATTTTCCCATTTTTACCTCAATTTCTCTGTTGGATCTTGAACATACTAATTAATCTCTCTGTTCTGAGTGTAGATTAATTACAGCTCTCTGGTACCCTCTGAGGGCATTCAGTAAACCCAAAGCATTTTGTTCTCTCTGAGGACACGAGTGTTTGAATTTGTTGGGTTTTTCTTCCAGTCAGCATTAATGTCTGATATCAATTCTCTCTGTATAAAAATACTGACTGTAGATGAACGCAGTTTCTGTCTGATCTCATGCAGATACCAGGTTTAATATCCAGTGCCACCAAGAGCTTACGGATGGAGACAGAAATCCTTGAGAAAAAGCTCCAGGATGCCCAGATGAAACTCGCAGAGAAGGATGGGGACAAGGAGAAGGAAATCCAGAGCCTTAAAAGACTGATCAGTGAACTCGAATTTCAGCTGACGATGGAAAAGAACAACAATGAATCATTCCTGGATAAACTGAGGAAAGAAATGAAACACAAGTCAGATGAACTGGAAAAATTAACCCAGGAGAGGACACAGCTGATTCACAGCTTGAGTCAAGTCCAGGAGGAGGTAGGAACATGACCCAGGAAATGCCTGCCTATTTTTACTTGGAGACATGTGATTTCTAGTATCACTCAGAGTGTCTGTATTTCAGACCAGAAAACCCACTGAAATGCAAAGATTCCTAGAACAAGACCATGATAATTTCATAAAGACAGTAGATTATGAAATACAGGGAGTTTTAATTCAGCAAACACTTACATTGTGTTTTATTGAATAATATTTATATTTTTCAAGTCCTACAAGACATTTCTTTCTCAGCCTGTAGGCTCAGTTATGCTACACAAACATGAGTGAACAACAAAGAATCCCCCGTGTTTTTGGAGTGGAGATCATGGACAGTTCTCCCTTCCCACTCTTTGAACTGTGTCCCACCTCCCCCCAGCCCAGCCACGTTCCCTGACACAGGAATGCATGGAAATGACCCCCAGGCAAAGAAAGGGAAGTTGGAGTGATGGATATTCTGACCACAAGCATTTGCTGAATGCTTGGAATAGAATGGGAAGGGAGGAGAGAGCTGTGCTGCTCCATGAGAAATGTGCAGTCAGGGACTGCAGATAAGATTAGGCTGGAATGTCCAGAGCAATTCAGTGGCAGAAAAAAATTGGGAAGCAATGAAAATTAAACTCCTCAAAATGAATTAGAGCCGGGGTTGGTATTTACTTCTTCCTTGGCAAAGGTTGAGGAACAGTGGGGGTGAGTTGGAGGGATGTTGGCGGTGGGTCTGTCAGTCCTGCCCTGACCTGGGGATGGGGACATGGATCAGGGTGGCCTTGGCACTCTGGCCTCTCCAGCCTGAAGGATTCCATGATTCCACACAGATTCCCTGGGGAGGGTTCTGTAGGAAGGGTCTGAAGGAAGTGGTGCAGTGACACTGAACCTCCCATCCACTGCTGTTCCTTCCCAGGAGCGGCATTCCCAGCTCCCAGCCGGGCAGGAGGGCAGGGATGGCTCCTGAGCACTTCCCTCAGGTTTCCAGTGACTCCCAAGGGAAGGGCATGGGTGGGAGTGCTGCTGTGGCCGGGAGGGCAGGAGGGAGCGGGAGGGGAGGGGAGTGTGGGGTTGCAGAGTTCCCTGCTCCAGGTCAGTGTGTGTGAGTGTTGCAGAGTTCCCTGCTGCAGGACTGTGTTTCTGTGTTGCAGAGTTCCCTGCTCCAGGTCAGTGTGTTTCTGTGTTGCAGTTCCCTGCTCCAGGTCAGTGTGTTTCTGTGTTGCAGAATTCCCTGCTGCAGGAGACGGTGCGCCGGGAGTGTGAGGAGCGCTGCGGGCTCACGGCCGCGCTCAGCAGGGCCCGCGAGCAGGTGCTGGAGCTGCGGAGGCTCAGCGGGACCTTCCCGGGGCCGCCCTGGCCCCGCTCCCGGGGCAGCCCCGGCGCCGCCAGGGAATTGCGGCTCTCCCTGGGCACGGCCAGAGCTGCCAAGGGAGCCGCTCCCGGCCGGCACAGCCCGGCATTGGCATCGGCATCGGCGGGGCCCAGCCCGCCCCATGCCCCCAGGGGAAGGGCAGCCTCGCTCCCCGAGCCCAGGACCAGGAGCATTCCCGGGATAACCCGCCGGCCCAGCCAGCTCTGACACCTCCACAGCCTGGGAAACAGCCCAGGCCTTCACAGGACCCTTGGCTTATGGACACCGGGGGCCAAATCTCTGCCAGTGCCATTCATCCATTTCTACAACCCGGAATTCACTTAAATTTGTATTTATTTCTGCTGCAATAATGTTTGTTTGTCCTTGGATTTGTTAATCGTGTAATGAAATGCTGTTTATGTTTCAAGTGGAGAAGAGGAACAGAAGAGTGTCCCTAAAAGGGACTCATCTTCAGAGGTGGAATTAAAACCATGGAATCTCAGAAGGGTTGGGTTGGAGGGGACCTTAAAGCTCATTCAGTTCCAACCCCCTGCCATGGGCAGGGAATGATGGCCAATCCTCCTAGAATCCAGGTTGGATGGCTCTCAGAGCAACCTGGGCTAGTGGAAGGTGTCCCTGCCCATGGCTGAGCTTTGAGCTCCTTCCAGCCCAGGCCAGTCTGTGATTCCATGGTCTAAAATCCAGGCTCTGTCCACCAACTCCCTGTTTCTGTCCTGGGGCAGCAGCCTTGGTAAAGTCTGTGTGGCCAGAGAGGAATGCATGGAAAGTGAGGGGAGAGACACAGGACAGTGTTTGGAACACGAGGGAAGGTCCAAACCCTGGATCCAAACCAAGTGGAGAACAAACATTTCCCTTCTCCCCCTCCCTCCCAGGAAGCTGCTCAGCGAAGAGCAAAATACATCATTGTCAGGAACCCTCTTTGCCTGGCTTGTAAAACCAGCTCCAGGAATGTCCCCATGGCAAGGAGAGTTCTCCTTGGAGAAAACATCCCCTGGCACCAGGGTGTCTGCCCTTCCCTGACGGAGAGGCCTCTCTTTGCCCCTGGCAGAGCTGGTGCTGTTGCCTGATGAGGATCAGACGCTCCTCCAGTCCTAAACCTTTCCCTAAAGGGTTAATCCCCCCATGCCAGGCCTGGTTCCTCTGGCAGGGTCAGTGGAGCTGGTTTGGGGCTCCCTGTGTGGCATCAAACCTCACCCATGGCTTGGCCAAACCTCTCCTGGGCCCAAACCCATCCCTATTAAACCCAGCAGGAGGGTGGAACAGGGTGGGATCAGCCTCTTCTCCCAGATCAGGAATGCCAGGACAGGAGGGAGCAGGGGGATTCCAAGCAGTCAGTCAGGGCCTCATGGGGGGCAATTTTCCACTGAAAGTTGCCCAGAATTTAATGTTCCCCACAGAAGGAGTCCAGCCCATGGCTGGTCCTTCAACAGGCAATCAGATTATCACTTACCATACATCCCACAGATGTACTTCCCACGTGTGTCCAGCGCTCATTCCCACTGGGAAATCACAAGCCAAAGTGTTGATGTGCCTCATGGATTAAAGATGACGAACAGCCCTTGCTCTGAGGTGCTGTAGGATCTGGGATCCAGCCTGTGCCTTGCAGGTGGAGTTTTTCCACAAAAGAAGAAATTAGACTGCAGGAAAAAAAAAAAAAAAGGCATCTTAATTTTCCTCAGCAGCATCAAAAGTGCATGAAATAGAAACTGTAGCCAGTTGATGCCACGTATCATTAAAATACATAAAAAATAAAATAAAAGACAGACTGACTTTCTTTGCACTGTGTGTTTTTAATACCAAAAAAAAAAAAAGAGCAGAAGAAATAAATTGGGGAAATTTCTGTGACATTTCCCCTTTAATTTTATTTTTTTAAATGGAGGTTTATTTACATCATGGAAATCCAGTGTTGGATTTCATCTTTGGTGGTTACAGGTGGTTTTGTCTGTCCTGCTGGAGGGAGAATAAACTCCAAATGCAGCTGCAACAGGGTGAAAACTATAAATTAATATGCTGAGCACTAATGTGGGGTTTTCATCCTCCCAGCAGAGGACAAATGAATTGGGATGGGATAATGAAACGGGCACTGCCAGAGATTAATGTGGAAGAGATTTTAACACCGGAAATAAAATTTGTGTGGTGGAAAAAGGAGCATCTGGCATTGCCCTGGGAGCTGCTCCCAGCTCAGGATAAGCCCTGAGCACATTTTTGTATCTTCTAAAAATCAGTTCATTTCCAACTGTCAGGAACAATGAGTCCTTTTTGCCTATAAACCCTGGGTTTGCTGCCTCCTCAAACCCATCAATTTACAGGGAATGGTTTCTTTTGGGGATCCTCCTATTCCCAAAGTTCATAGAATTGCAGAGTCACAGACTGGCTTGGGTTGGAGGGGCATTAAAGCTCATCTCGTTCCACAGGCAGGGACACCTTCCACTATCCCAGGCTGCTCCAAAACCCGTCCAACCTGGCCTTGGACACTCCCAGGGATCCAGGGGCAGCCACAGCTTCTCTGGGCAGCCTGTGCCAGGGCCTGCCCATCCTCAGAGCCAGGAATTCCTTCCCACTATCCCACCTAACCCTGCCCTCTATCCATGGGAAGCCATTCCCAGTGTGCTGCTCTCTGTGACTCCCCTTTTCCCGTCGGATGAGCAGCTCTTCCTGGGCAGCTCCTGTGGGGTGAGGCCCCCCCGTGTTTGAGTTCCAGCTGCTCTGCCCCATCCCGGGCTGGAGCTGCAGGGGGAGATGCCTGAGGAACCTCCCCGGGACCCGGCGCTGACCCTGCTCCTGGCCGTGTTCCCGTGAATCCTTTATGGGAATCCATCCCAGCCTCGTCCCTCCATCCCTCCAGCTGCTTCCTGAGCTCGGGCAGCGCCGCGCGAGCCGCGCTGTTTGTTTGGAGTTACCAGGACCGGGAGGTCACTTCAGTCATCGGCAGTTCCCAACAAAGAACCGCACGTGCCTTTGGGGGAAAAGGACCTGGAAAAGGCTCATCCATCGGGAACAGCTGAGGCTGCCCGGGAAGGGCCAGACGGAGGAGGAGCCGCAGGGATGCAGCCCAGGAGCAGCTTTGCCTCAGAGGTTGTTGCCAACTTCCTTCTGTTTGCCGATGTCTTTTTTGGGGGTTGTTTTTGTAGATTTCTTCTAAATATAACCCCAGCTGTAACTGGAAGCTGTAACTGGAGCTGAATGAGGCATTAATTCATCTGCTCCAGGCTGTGCTGGGGGAGCACTTGGGTTTCTGATCCCTGGATAAAAGTTGGTTCTCAAGACCAGGATTCTCTATGAATTAATGTTCAGGGACATTCAGAGAAATCCTTTCCTCGGACTCCCTTTGGACAAGGACGTTACAAACCTGCTGGAGCCATCTCCAGGGAAAGAGTCCAAGGCCAGGTTGGACGGGGCTTGGAGCAACCTGGGCGGGTGGAAGGTGTCCCTGCCCATGGCAGGGGTGGCACTGGATGGGCTTTAACTCTTCCAACCCAAACCAGTCTGGAATTCGATGACACAGGACAGGGGTTGGCACCTCTCACCCAAAGCCCAGCGTCTGGTTTGGGAATTATGATTAAAGTAACACATCTGGGGGTGAAAACTCATTTCTGGGCTTGTCATCAGCAAACCCCTGAGTGTTCCCCTGTGCCCAGTGCTGCTCCCAGGGGGTGCACAGCACCCATCAGCAGGGTTCAGCTGGAGGCACTGGGATGTGCTTCGGGGGGCTGTTATCCCAGGAACCCCCCAGCACAGCTTCCTAAAATCTCTCACCTGGGAGCGTTGGAAGGTTGGATGGGGACACCTTCCCATCGGGTCACTGTCACCAGCTCCTGTCCTTGGCTGCTGAGGGAAGGGTGTCAGTGCTGCCCTTGTTGTGTTCCCAGGCTGGTATCTCTGTGTTGGCTTCGCTGTTGCCAAGGGAACCCACGAGGAGTCCTGAAACAAAAACAGCCGCGAGCCATCCCATTAACACAGGCAGACAGCTCTCCCCAAACCAGAGCCAGATGTCAGAGATAACATCTCTGTTTGTTGCTTGCGGTTTCCTTGATGGCAAACGACTACCGTGCTCCCATCCTGCCTGTCCAGAACATCGTGTGGATACAAACACAGCACTGGGAATGGGGAGGAGCAGGAGGGAGGGAGGGAGGATATTCTTGGGGGGTGATTTATTCCTGCGAGAGGAGCAGCAGTGACAGCCCCAGTGCTCCCTCTCACCAGACCAGGTGTCCCCTCATCATGGGGGGGAATTTTGAGCCATCTGCAGCTGACAGGAGATGCTGAGGGTGCTTGTTTTTCAGAGGTGTTGTGGCACAGAAAAGCCTTCGGGTTTTGAACAAAGCCCCAAACCACTCTGACCCGGGACCTCAGGCACCCGGTGCCAGCTCCAGGTTACCCCACACGAGGTCCCAGAGGGAAGGGTATTTTGGGAAGATGCACCAATCACTGAATGGGTGATTTTGAACCTGGTAATTCAGGCTGTGTCCCCCCCGTGCTGGCACAGCCCAGCGCAGGGGGTGTGACACTGCTTGTCACGGGGCAGCACTGGGGTATCTCACATGGCTGGGGGGTGACATCACCCCCGGAGGCTTCCCCTCCATCCCTGGAGCTGGAACTCGGGTGTCAGCTGAGCTGGGTGTCTGTCCCTGCACGGGGTGGGTGTGCTGGGCTCCAGCAGAGCAGGGAATGCTCGGCTGGGCTTCCCAACACTTCCACCTACAGAACGGACCCGGAATGGCAGCGGCAGCATCCCAGGAGTGAGGGAGCACAGCATTCCTGGGAGTGATGGGAGCACAGCATTCCTGGGAGTGATGGGAGCACAGCATTCCCTGGGATCCCCAGGAGGGCTGGGGCTGCTTGGAGTGGGTCCATGAGCCCCTTGTCCTCTCCAGCAAACCCAGCCCGAGGCATTTTCTCTCCTAGGACAAAAATGGTAACCTTTGTCAATTTCCCCCCCTCCACTTGAATATAAACTGTTTTTCGGGCCAGCTTTGCTCATTTTAACTTGTTTAGTCTGGAGCTGCCCCGCTGGGCCGTGCCCAGGAGGTGGGGATGGGGAGCTGTTGCCTTTGCAGGAGTGTTTTCTCCTGGTGGGCTGGGATTGCCAGAGCTCTGCTGTGCCACAGCCACGGGGTTGTGTCCTGCCCCAAAGAGCTTGGAAGCAGCAAATGTGTGCTCTGGAGCACCGAGGAGCACGGACAGGATAGCCACAGGCTGGGCTGTTTGTGGATGGCCTGATGGGAAGTGATGGATTTCATGAGCATTCCCTGGCAGGAGCAGCAACCAGGGGAAGATTTCCTGGAAAAGGGACCCTTATCACTGCATGCTGTGGCTGCTGCCACTCACCTGTGGGGTTTGGAGGTGGCCAAAGCGCCAACAGGAACCTGTTGGGTCAACTGCCATCAGCAATATTCTTGTTCAGGTTTTTTTCCCTCCCAAAGCATCCAAAGCTCCTGGTCCAGGTTCATCCATCCAAGGTCTGTGACAAAGCTGAAAGTGAAGGACAGAACAGGTTGAAGAGAAGTCCCTCAAAACATTTGTAGCACTTTGTTGAAAATTAGTCAAAACATTTTAACAAATCCTGTCCCTGAGGAAAAGCTGCTCTGAGGGTGAGACCCACCCAAGCCCCTGTGCCCACAGAGAGCTGGTCAGCTGGGACAGCCGCGTCCCCCTGTTCCTGTGGGTCCCAGATGCTCAGAGCTCAGTCAGGCAGTGCAGGAATACTCTGGCTTTCCCAGGGCATTGTCCCCAGGGCACCACAGTGGGTGCCACACTTGGTGCCACACAGGTGAACCCACCCTGTCCTCCCTGCCAAGCCCCTCTCACCATCCTGCTCCTCCTTCCCTCTGGATTGCAGCTCCCATGGGCAGCTGGAGGCTCAGTCAGGTGCTGTTGGAGCTGGTGTTCCTGGATCCAGCCTGAGCCACCTCTGCCTGCTGTGCCTGCCACTCCACCCCTGCCCTGGCAGGACAAGGCCCCTACAGGTGACAATCAGGGCAGTGAGACCAAAGATCAGTGCTGGGCACTCAAAGCTCTGTCTCACCTCTCAAACACATCCAGGAATGTTTATTCCCCCTGCCTGTGTCCGTGGGGAAGCAGAGCTGGGGGTCAGTCTGGCTGAAGTCCACCAACCTTCTCAGATGATTCCTTTCGGTGATGCAGAGCTCAGGGAACACACGAGGCCCTTCAAAGCCTCAGGACAGACAGCGACTGTCACAGTGGGATTTCTGGCTGTTGTGCCCAGCACAAGTCCTTGTCCTTGACAAGTCCTCCAGGAACGGGGGCACTGAGGGGCTGCAGCCACTCAGGACCATTACCCTGCCAGAGCTGTCCCCCTGCAGAGCCCACACACGAGCAGGGGCACAGGCAGTGACTCTCAGCTCGCCCAGAGTCGGCTCCTCCTCCTGACAGCTCTGACCTGGAGCTCAAAGTCCTGCTGCTTTTACCTCAGCCACCACCAGCAATCCCACAGCCCCTGGCTGGCAGAGCTTTGGGTGGCTGAGGCCACCATCCATCACTTCATCCGCCACTGGCAGGAGAGCTTTCTCCCATGGGAAGAGCACCAAACCTTTCGCTGCCTGTCAGTGAGCAGATGGTGTGGCTGTTCAACATCTCCAGCTGCTCCAACTCCACAAGGTCCATCTCTGCCCAGAACTGGAAGCACAGAGGGTCGTTAGTGCTCACAAACACACAGAGCTGAGCCCTCCAGTGTCACCCCCACACCCAAACCCCCAGTCCAAGGCAGCTCCAGGCAATCCAGCTGCTCCTGCAGCCCTGGGGTTCCACTGCTGCCCTCCACTGTCCCAGCACTGGGATCTGGGGGAAAAGCTACTCCCAGTGCCATGGCAACAAACGTATTTCACACACACAAAACACTAACAGTTATTACAGATGAAAAAGCACGCTGGTAACCAAGAAACAAAGAGATTTTCTCTTCCCCCGTTCCAAAGCACCCATTTACTTCGTGTCCAGAGCGCAGCTGCAGGCGGGGCCCAGCAGGGCACGGGGCTCAGGAAGGTTCTGCTCAGCCACTTTCTCTCTCCTGTCTGAGGCCTCCAGGCTGGGCACACAGCCCAGCTCTGCTCCTGCAGTCACAGGGGCCACACCTGTCCCCACCTGGGCTCTGCAGCTGAACATCCCAGCCAGGTCACCCTCGCAGGGAAATGGAGAGGCATTTGGGGAGGGAAAAGGTCTTTTCCCTGCTGGACTTTGGGTCAGCAAGGACAGCAAACCCCTCACCCTTGTGGGTGAGCATGACACCCATGTGTCAGCATGACCTTGCAGGGGGGGCCCTGCTCAGCTGAAAGCTGTGTCAGCACTGCACCTGCAAGAGGATCCCTCCTTCCCCTGCCAGCATCCTGCCACTGCAATGAAAGATGGGAAATAAAAACCCCAAACCCGATCCCTGCAGGCCTTTTGGAACAGCTGACGCAGCTCCTGCCCTCTGCCCCAGAGCTGAGAGGGACAGGGACACCCCAACCTCCCAGGGCAGCTGACAAGAGTGGGACACCCATCCCTGGCTCATCCCACTGAACTGCAGAGAGGTCCATGGTCATTAATTCCAAATGCTGCCCAGCTTCCCTGGGAAGGACACAAACACCCAAAGCTTTCCCAGTTTCCCTCCCACGTCTCACTCAGACACAGCGGTCAAAGCCAGGGCGTGTAAGAAAAGCAAGTTTAGTTCCAACACATTTGGCATCCAACAGGCAGTAAAAAAAAAAAAAAAAAGCTTTATATTTTATTTCTTGTAAAAATCTTTTAACACATGCAGACTAAAACCAGTGTAAGAAAGTCTCCACCATCGTTTAAACAAATAACTATACTTAAATATAAGCGTCTGCAATTGACTGGTATAAAAATAAGGTACGTTTTGCTTTTTTACAGAAATCCTGTCTCCAGTTCTCAGCTCAATAAACAATACACAACTCTAATACATACAACGAACCTGATCGTGGTTTTCCACTCCTTGGATACTGCTAAGGTACGATGTGCAAAAAGTTGGTAACAGTTCCTTTCTCGAAAGAAAAAAAGAAAACAAAAAACAAAACAAAACAAAAAAACCCCAAACCAAAGTCTTCTACCCCTCTTAGAAAAGGAGCCGCTGGGCCCGAGTCCCTCCAAACCTGGGGTGGCGGTGCCGGGCTCAGCGCCGGTGCCGCCCGTGTCCCGAGCGGCCGCTGCCGTGGTGCTTCCCCTTGTGGGAGCGCTCGAAGGAGCGCGAGCGCTCGCGCCGCTCCCGGTGGTGGCTGCGCTCGTGCCGGTGCTTCTTGGCGGCCTCCGAGTGATCCCTGGACTTGCTCTGGGAGCGGGAGCGGGATTTTTTCCGCTTGTGGCCGTGTCTGTTGGCGCCCTTGAGCTCCTCGCGGCCGTGCTTGGCCTTGAGGTGGGGGGAGCCGTGGTTGTGGTGCCGCCGGGGGCTCCCGCTGTGGCTGCGCGAGCGGCTCCGCGACCGAGAGCTGTAGGTGCCCGACAGGCTGCGCCGGTTGTTGTAGCTGCGGGAGAGGGGCAGTCAAAACGGGCCTTCCACACGGGCAAACAACCACCACACCACACCAAAGGGGCTGCCAAGTCACTGGGACAAGGCAGAGACTGTCTCTCTAAAGGACAATGAATATCCCCAACGTGCAGCCTGGCCTAGTGGAAGGTGTCCCTGCCCATGGGACCGGGTGGGCTCTAAGGTCCTTCCAACCCAAACCATGCTGGGATTCTTTCAGTTAAGCCCATTTGAAAATAAACAGCCCAATCCAAACCCAGAATGCAGCACCTTTAGAGACTTTTCCACCTCGTCAGGAATCTCCCCTCAACACCAGATCACAAACTGCGTATTGCCCTTTTCTCTCAATGATCTGACAGTGATACTCTGGGGAACCCTTCACTGAGATCCAAGTTGGAAGCTTCCAACTTGGATACGAGCCCAAAGATTCTTCAAAAATAGGTGTTTACGAAGCCAGGAGCTCTCCCTGCATCCCCCTCTTCCCACCCCAGGAGAGGGGCAGAGCCCTGAAGAGCCGGGCAGAGCCCCAGGGAGCACTGACACCAAAAAGCTGCCACACGTCTAAGGGTCCTGTGGCACTTCTCAACCCTTCCCCAGGGACTGTGTTCCCAGACTGCTCCCATCTGTAATGGGAGAACTAAAAATGCCCAAGCCCCCATGCCCTGCCCCGGGTGCCCCCCAGCAGCCCCCACTCACTGTCGCCTCGGCGTGTGCGAGCGAGACCTCGACTTTGTCCTCGAGCGGGACCGACTGCCGCTCCTGCTGCTTCGACTTCTCTTGCTTTCTTTCCTCAGGCTGCAGGGGGGGCAAAAACAAACCAGGCTTGCACTTCTGAGGCACTCGTTACTGCCCTGAAGGAGCTCAGCAGTGGCTCACAGCATTTTTACTCAAGTATTCTCTTTACCAGGAGAGATTTTACCTACCCGTTGTAAGGGCTCTTGGAGGTTTGCTGCCTCTCCTCTGGCTCCTTTTTAATGGTTTTGGTGTTCACAGACACTGGAGATTTCTCTTCAGTTTTTACTTCTCTCGGGGAAGCTGAGAATTAAATTTAAATTCAAAATTAGCTCTTTATTCATCCTTTGTCATGAACATACTGTGCACCCCTTCAAACACCTGTATCAGTATCTGCACTAAACGTAGATATGAACTCAATAGCTACTGTTTCATTCCACCTTTCCATTTTTAGTTCATTCCCGGAGTAGGATGTTCATGGGGAGATCCACAGTGTGCAGCCAAGGGGCAGCAGAGGAGGAGGAGGAGGAGGAGCACTGTGCCCTCCACACCACACAGCCAGGCTCACCTTCATCCACCAGGGGCCAAAAGGTACAAAGTAAAAGCTGCCCTTATGGCCCACAGATACAGAGCTTGTTACCTGGACAACAACTTCCAGTGCTACAGAAAGGATTAAGACTGAACAGCAAACCTCATCTTTAAATTAATGGCACAATAATACTGAATAACAGAAGTGTGTTTAGTCCGTAAGTCACTCTGTCCCTGCAGGTAGTTAGAGTAGCCCAGAGATGGATTCACCTCTCATGGAAGGGCTGCTAAGCCCAACAGAGCTCCTGCTTTCCAACACTTCCAGCCTTGGCTCCCACCTCGCATTCTTTGTTCATGAGAAATTCACACTTGCCAGTTCAAACCCCCTGAAAACTCCAACTCTTCAGAAGTAACTGGGACGGTGCTGCTTCCTCACAACACGTGCCCACGTTCCTGCAGAGCCAGACAGAGCAGGCCCTGAGCCTTCTGCCCCACCACCAGCTCTGGGCCAAGGCCTGGGACAGCCCCTGAACCCCTCACAGCTCAAAATCAGCAGCAAGGAGAGGTGAAAGCACCGAGACAAACCCTCAGAGTTCTGACAGACAGGCTGATCCAAAATAGGTGTTAGAATTTATTCCCTCTGGTGCCAGGACTGTGCTGTGCCTCTCCTCCATTTCCTGACCACCAGCTGCCTGCCTTCACCACGCTGAACAGTTGCCAAGTGCATTAAAACAAGCAGAGAAAGCCATTTTCAGAGATACCTGCAGCAAAAGGAGCCATGAAGGCCATTGCCACAGTCCCCAAATCGAATCCAGAGTCTCTCTTCACACCACATAACACACCCCCCAACTCCTGTCTCATTAAGGGTGCATGCCATTAATAAATCACTCTCCCATCTGTGGAAGTATGGAGTAAAGTATCCCTTTTTCCTATAATCTGTTATTTCAAGGTCTTGAAACTGGTTTTAAAGTCTGTGTTTGAAAAAAAGAAATATTTGCCTTGCTGCTTAGTTCTGTGAGGGAGCCTACACTGCCTCAGCAGTTCAGGAAGCAAACCTGCCTTTTTTAGTTTTTTAACCACCCTGGGACACAGATTTAGTTACTTATCAAACAGTATCGTTCAAGTTTCTGTTCAGAAAACAAACTTACATGGTTTGGACGCAGGAGAAAAGCCACCCAGTGTTGAGAGTGCTGGAGTTCCATCTGGATTTAAACCTTTTGCCTTCAGTTTAGCTTCCTGCAGTGCCATTTTCCTCTTTTCTACTTCTTTATCCAGAAACTCATAATTGGGCTGTGGAAGTAACAATGAGGTAAGAGGCTGAGCTAGAGTAATTCATATTTTCATCTCCTTTCTGAAAAACACTCTGTTGTCTTTAATCATGTGCCAGTAGTGGGGGTAGTTTCCAGAATGTGTTCTCCCACACTCCTCACGGGAGCCCTTCCCATTAGTAGATCTGTATTCCAGCATTCCCAAACTTTTGTGAGAGCCATAACTCAGCTCAAGCTGCACTGAGCAGGAAAACCAAACATCTCAAACTTACCTTTTTTCTGGTATAAAGCTTGAGAGTCGTCAGGCAGATCTCCTGAATCTCCTCTTCCGTGGTGCCAAAGAGCAAGAACCAGTGAGGACGAGTGGGCAGCGGAATCTGAAACCGAAACAACCAGTAACAGGGATTACAGCCCAGCCTTTTTGTTTTCAGTGTCTGCATTAATTTTGTTGGAAGCAGCCCCCTGGCAATGCAAGGCAGAGCTCACCTGCAGGGCCCTGGCAGCGAGGTAAATGCAAGCACACGCAATGGTCTCGGGCTGAAAGCGAACAAACACGTTTGTCCGGAGGCTGTCGTTCATGTAATTCCTAAAAAATACAGCAGGAAAGGTTGGATCTCTGCTTCAATTCTTATTTTTAGAGGATAACAATACTGGAGACTCAATTGACTTTATTATTTTTTCTGCTGTTATGTTAAACGTTTGGTTTCTGTGGAACTGTGGTATTTGGTGTTGACGTGGGTCACTTTGTAACAGCCTGCACCTTGGCACTGTCTGAAACCCCGAGGCAACAGTGTGCAGTAACAAATGCCAGCAGCATTTCCTGGCTGCTTCCTCCCTTTCAGTTATCCTCAAGTGTCCAGAGCTCACAACCTAACAAGGACTTTGCATCTGTCCAGCTGTGTGCCTCAGACACCAGCGGTGTTGTATTTAAAAACCAATGTAAAACTCAGGTGCAAGCAGGAAAGCACAGTGTATTGGCAACCTACCCTCCTCCAGAGGCAACCCAGGCAGTTCACAAAACACTGACTGCATTTAAGTTTTGTGTGCCTCCAGTCCCATTTACTTCATCCAGAGGCATCCAGTGAGCTCACTGAGTGTGGGAACAAGGCCTGTGAGTTAGTCAGGGCCCCATGGCCCTGAGCTCCTGGTTTGCACGGGGGGGCACTACCAAGCAACACATGCCAGGAGATTCAGTAATAGCAGAGACCTCCACGGGTCTCTAAGTTCCCAAGCTATGCAGAGAGGAACAGCAGTCAGTCAGCATCGACTCTGTAACCCCCGTGCCCAGTATGGCTCTACATGAACATGCTGCATGCACCGAAATCCTCCCTGGAGTCAGGTTTAGCCAAATCAACCAAGTAACCTCTGGCAGATTGTCCCCCACGTGTCCTTTCAACACTACAGCGTACAGCAGGTAGGAACAGAGACATTCAGAGACAGTTGGAACAGTTACTTCTGGAAAGAAATATACAAATCCTTGGCACCCCCGGCACCAGGAGGTGCTGCCCGCTGGATGACGGCAGGGAGTCTCGGATGAGAGCTGGCACCGGCTTGGCTGGAGAGAAGGGCAGCCAAACCCGCCATCCCCAGGTCAGGGCTGAGGTGCACAGGGCAGGGCTCTATGACTTACCATCAGGCACTACCCTTCAATCAAAGAGTAGAAAAAAGAACAAAGTTAAATTGAGTTCTCCGTGACTGTGCTGGAATCAAGCCATGAAAATAGTGAGCAGAAACAAGCACCACAACGTTTCAAAGCGTGTGTTGGGGTAGGAACTTACAGCTCATTGCTTTGCATAGGGATCAGCAGGCTTGTTATTTCTGCTACTATTTTCCTGGCTAGGAAGAGAATGGAAAATAACTTACCAGGCTGTCTGTACCAGGGTTTGATTACGTTCACATTCTAGGACTTGTAAATACATAACAATGATCTGAGGAATAAGGGGGGGGGAAGAGAAAAAAGACTAAGTTTTAACACATATAGCAAGAGAAAGTAAATATCTATATAAATATATATTTTAAAAATCAAACAGTATTCCCAAACAACAGGGGCTCCTTTTCTAAGCACACACTGTAAGCTTTCACATCACAGGGTATGCTGAGTTGGAAAGGACCCACAAGGATCACAGAGTCCAACTCTCAGTCCTGCCCAGGACTGTCCCCAAGAGTCTCCCCATCATGTTCAGACAGCTCTAAGATTTTTCAAAACCAGCCACCACCTTGAATTTTTCCCAAGGTGGCAATTTCAACCCAAGTCAATATGAATGTCTGCCCAAGTACTCTGACAAAAACATTAACAACAACTACAGCAGGGTAAAAGAGAAGAATCCAGGTCATTCTGCCACCTGTGTTTCTTGTTCCACAGCTCACAGTGATGCCATCAAGGTAGAGTAATAGGTACAAATCAGATTAATTTTGAGAACTCACCTTATGAGGATGCTTGACATGAACACAAAATCCCAACTCCTTCAGTACCCTCCTTTCTGCTTTGATTACTTGATTTTTGGTGTTTATGTAGTTCTGATCAAGTATCAGGGGGCTTGGAGTCCTATAGTTTGCAAGAAATAAAATCAAAACTGTTTTGCATATCCAAAAATAACGGCAACTCTGTTTTCCCTTCCAACCAACTAATGGCAACAGAAACCGGTTTTCAACTCCTGCAAGCAAGTTTAAGCATTAATCTTGTGCTGTCCAAGTTTAGATAAACTAGTTTAGTTGCTGCTTTTGACTAGCTACAGATTAGATGGCTGAGATAAAAAATAGCCTTCTGCTGCTGTGTGTGCAAACTACAACTGCTCCAGCTGCTGGAAGGAGTCGCTTGGCAGAGAGGATCCCAAAGAACCTTCCTCTCCATGGCAGAGGTGGGGGAAGGAACGTGACACAACTGCCTTTGCCAGGCAGGACTTCAAAGCACAAGTGAGGCAGAAGAAGGTTTTTTTCCTGATTAATATTGAAGTAGCAACTTGTGCTTTAGAAATTGCAGTTTCCTATAAACTGAAGAGAAGATTATTCAGCCTTCAGAGAACAAGGCAGCCCTGGCTCTGTGATGTGTGAACAGCTGAGTGAAGCACAGAATCTCCCCCCTGAAGGGTGACAGATCTCCCTGCATCCCTCACCAGTGGGTAACATGGCTATCCCTGCTGCTGTGTGCATTTCCAAAACCAGAGCTCATTCCACAAAGAGGTTTCAAACTCTAGCACTGTCTAGTCCTAATTCCTTCCACATCCAACACCTGAACTCTGCAAAGCACTTTAACCTCAAATGACTTGCTGTGCACTTTATGCACAAGCGTCACACTCCACGTCATATTCTTTTGCTTTGTCTATGCTTAGACTCGATCTTTCAACATTCCACTCTGGGTATTTGAATCCACTTCCTCCTGAAGACAAACCAGCCTTTTCCCTCAAATATGTCTCACACATTCCATGTGCTTTCCAAAGCAGAAGACCAGTTTTGGAGTTCCTTATGCTCTAATAAACCACATTCTGTGTATATGACACAACCATTACATTACCTTCAAAAGAAAAAAAAAAAAAGGTAATGCAAAGCAGATTCAAAATACAGCTTTTGTTGGATCAGGCAAAATATTTCACCGCTAACTTGCAAATTCCATGAGTGGATCTCACTTCTTCCCTGACAGGTCACAGAGCAGACAGAACACTGCAAACCAAGGTTCCCACCCCAGGAAGGGTGGATGAGGCCAGACGAGGAGCTTCCCAACTTCCATATCCCAGTTTATGGCTTGACTCCTGCAGTCAGCTGGGCAGATGCTGGTTGTCACTGGCAAAGCACACAGCAAACCATCCCCTTCTCCAGTAGAAGCATAGTGGTGTACAACTGGAAGCACAAGGGGCCGAGAAGCAGCGCCCAGCTCTGGAAGGAATTACTGCAGCTTCCTGGTGCCAGGAAGGACCCACAACTCAGCACCAGCTTTGCTACTCCTGTCTGCTAAGGAATGCCCATCTCCCACGTTACATGAAAGTAACTTCTCTAGTTAAGTGTTACTGTCACTTATCAGGGCAAGGTTACAGTTTGCCATTTCAGCTACTCTATAAATAAATCCAGTCAGAATAGCGGGATTTTTTGGAGGTTTTTTTGGGTTGGTTATTTGGGGTTTTTTTTTCCCCTCCCATAAATTAACTGGAAAACAAGACCTTTTCAAGCTTATTTAAGGCAACTTCAGTGAGAGGCTGATGTTATCTGAACACTCCAGCACTCCAAAGGCAGGCTGAACTCAGTGCTCTGGAGTGGGAGAGCCAAGCTCTTTCCATCAGTGAAACTGAGTCACTTCCAATTAATTCCAATCAATTATACTGGGGTTGATAACAATACTTCCTCCAGTGCTGCTCTCCACAATTTTATCCAGAGGTCACTGGCACTACAGGATCTGCAAAGCATCATCCAGAGCGAGTTGTCCAGGCTCAGTTTAGCAGAACACTTCCTCCGAGGTGGGACATCTTCGATCATGGATTTAAGCAGCCATGACTTCCAGCCTATTAAAAACTTCCCCAGTGGGATGACAGGACTGCACAGGACCATCCACCAGCCCTGGTTCCCTGTGGCCCTGCACTCCTGGACAGCTGTGCAAGGAGGTTAAGGCAGCCCCAGGTGCAGCAGGACAGACAGGAGCCTTGCAGTGAGTTAATATGTCACTGTCCTTCCCCAGGGCCACGGGATCAGCACCAACAACTCACCCTCAGCACCTGTTCCACAGTGAAGTGACAGGAGACCCAACAGCCCAAGCGGGCTTTGCTTTACTCTGGTGTCCCACGTTACAAATTCCAGAGACCTACAGCTCTAAGGAACCCATGAAAAACATCAGTTTGTCCAGGCAGCGTTTCCAGAAACACAGACTTCTTATCCACTTCTGGAAAAATAAAAATCTGCAGAGGTTTAAGTGCTTTACTGCACTTTATTACTGGCAGAAGTCAAGTTCTCCACCGTATTAAGGTTCACCAATTTGGCACTTTTGGCATGAACTCTGAAGTGTGGGCAAACAATTATTTACAAGTTGGAAACTTCAGAGATTTCCCTTTGGAAAACTTTTTTGCTTTCTACTAAATAAAAAGAGGAACTTTGCTACTGCATTTGCTGCACTTAGTTCTGAGTCCAAGAATTATTTTAGGTCCAAGTAACAAACCAGAGAAAAATAACTTAAAACCTCATGTATAAAATACATAAAACGTGACCTTCAAGCCCAGGATAGCCAAGGAGTATTGCAAATTCTTACTCTGGATCTGTTTTACAGATCAGCACTAGAGCTCCAGGCAACACTTTATCATTAACAACAGAGCACACAGTGTCCCCTCTGGGAAGCCAACCCAGCACTCCGATGCAACACTTGATTGGGATTAAGATTGTGTAACAACCCAACAGATTAACACGCTCCGTAATGTGCTTGTAACAATAAATAAATTACAAATAGCCATTTTTATAAATCACTCTGACAAATGAGCCCTAAGTTCTCAACGCAGCTGCAGCTTCATTTGATGTGATATTAAACTTTGATGTCTCTGGGATGACTAATCCTTTGGAGGAACAGTGCCCTGAGTGCAATTATGGCCACATGGAGCACAGTACTTCTGACAAGTACAGCACAACAGCAGCGCCTCCTCTCAAAGACCAGGGATCTGTTAAGCTGGTCAGTGCAAGGACACGAGTTCTGTTTGTCTCCCAGGTCAGAAATGCAAGCGGCACAGACTGGCAGGGCAGTTTGAAGAGCACTACGTGTGTAACGTTAATGCAGCCACTCCCAACCCCACTGCAGGGACCTGTGTCCTACAACCCAGCGGCTCAGACCGCCCCGGGGTGGGGTCGCAGCACCACACCAGTCGCGTTTGGTTCCAGTCCCAGGACTTTCTGCAGCTTTTCAAGCACATTTAGGAGAAATAAAAGCAACTTCAAGCTACATTCTACAAGGTAAACAACAGTTGCACTTTGCTCAGAACACAGGTTTTGGCACACAGTTATTTCAAAGCAGTTTTTCCACAGTACGAGCTTTTCTCCATGCACACAAACATTTTACATGCAGTTCTACATCACATTTGCTCGTCACAGATCCAGAACAAAATATGCTTGTCCAAAACACTTATTTGTTTTTTTTCTTACTTCTCAGCATTAGAAATATCACCTCTAGTTGACTACACGTCTCATAAAAAGAAAATTCCAATGCAATTCCCAGTTCTGCAAACAGGTACATAGAAGGGACTGCTTACATCATAATGGGTATAAATTTACAAATCCAAGATTTCTGTATCCTTGTTTTACTATGAATGCAAACTGCAATTATACAGAGCTAGAAAGTGGAACTAAGAACCCAAAACTGGTTAAGAAAGAAAGCAAAGCCTACCCAAACTACCCCAAACGTGTGTGCAGGTTAAGAGCTTCAGTTAACAGAAAAACTAGACTAGAAAAGAAAGTACAGCAGCCTGAGTGTTTCAGTTCTGGGTTGTGTGTGAGAAACTAACTACAGCCTACGTGTTAGCTTCATTCAGTAAAAAAAAAAAAAAAAAAATTAAAAAAAAAAAGGTTAAGCTAGTATTCTAAAAACCTGGACAGCAAAGAAAAAAGCTTATAACAAGATACAGGAGTTCTTCCAAATGGTTCACCAGCGGCCAACCTGTTAGTCCCCCGGTTCCAGTGACCTATTCTCAGAGCACTGGCTTCTCCTTGGGGATTTTCGATACTTCACTCACTGTTGCCATGACGACAGCTTCATCTTTATGTACCACTCCACATCACCCAGGCTTTGGTAAATGTAGCTGGTCGCTGTATAGTCGGTTGCAAGGGAAAAAAGAGTTGAAGTTAATAACGTGTACAGGTGATGGAACTGTCAGCTTGTAAAAAGTACAGAAAAAACGTTTACATCCTGCTTGCTAAAAACAAAAAAAAAAAAAAAAAAAAGGGGGGGGTGCGAGTCTGAATGTCAGACTGCAGCATTTTTTAAGGTTCATTTCATGCAGATTCACTCAGAATCGCAGAGCAACAATACCCATTTCTCCCGAAAATAATGGGTAGCAGTGCACGAGTTCTCTGGACATGATGCACTTTAGACACCATGTAACATGCACAAGGTGGGATTTGGAACAGGCTAGCTGGAAAGATTTAAATTCACAGGTTAAGTTCAGTTTCTCTGATCCTTCACACAGCACACAGAAACAGCTAGTTCGTATTCTCAGCGCAGAGACAAGCAAGGCATATGATTAATTAACCTTCGCTGCCTGGACCGAGGCCAGAACGTTACTAATCACTGAACCTGCTCCAGGAATTCCAACACCAGACTCCCTGTCAGAACTGCGGGGGACAATCCCACTGAACTCACACCCCACACCACTGCTCACAGTTCCCTCAGGGCTGTGACAACCTCAACACCCAACCCAACAAAGCTCAGTCCCACAGTGTAACACTGACCCCTTTCCTCCTGGAACTAAGTTAACTCAGGAAAAACAGCACGAGGCAGCACAAGCCAAAGCTCTGGCTGCAACAGAAGCATAACCAGGATCATGACACCAACGAACAGCTGGATTCCCTAAGGGATTTCTACTCTGATTCTCAGGAAAGGTTACACGACACAGAAGGTTAAATTCCCGCTGTAACCTGGTGTATTTCACAGGGCAGTGACATAAACTGTGAATTTAATAATCCAGCCGAAAACAAAATCCTCTTATAATTACAGAGTTCCTTAAACTTTGGGCAACCAGCCACTGAAAGCAAAGCTGAAGCCTCCAGTCCCAGACTATAATTCTGCTGCCCGACAGAACTAAGGAGATTTTGAGTTTAACTGCAACTTAGGGAACTCCTCCCAAGCAATCCCTGTTCCTCTCACTACTTTGTTAATCTGCTTTACCCAAGAACAAACATTGCTTTACACATGGAAAGCAGCAGTGGTCTCGCAGCTCTACGACACCTGCCCAGGACAACACAACTCCCACCTTCTGCATTAGAGATGTCAAAGGTGCCTCCAGCCTCCCACACTCAGTGACACACTAAAGCTGCACACACTGCAGGTCAAGCCAGGCCTTATTCCAGGTATTTTCTACAGTGGCTCTTTTTCTAGAAGATAATTACTGTCATCACCGAAAATTCGACTTCTTCGCTGATACCTTACTGGCACCACAACCACACTTGGACACCACGCACCAACGAGGGAAAAGCATCAAGACTACTGAATACGGTTAAAAAGCTGTAGAATACACAGCAACCCACTACTGACTACTCACACCTAAAACTACCCTTCAATAACTGCAAAACAACAAAACATCAACTAACCAACCTAAAGTTACAACCGTGGGCCTACAACTAGGACCAATACTCGTGACCTGCAGCTAAATAAGGAACAGAAACGGGTCTACCAAGCGAACAAAAGCAGAAGAAGTCGGAATTGCACTGTACTGCCTACAGAGCAGCCAACGAGCACTCCCTTCCCAACTTTAGGTCGTTGAACTTAGCCTGGAAAAATACTGTGAATCGAACGCTGCAGTACATTAGCGGTAACGGGTGTTTACGATCGCAACGAAGCTGATCTTACCTTTTTGCTCTTAACTGCCGCAAGTGATGGAACACGTTGATCACGTCCCTTATCCGACGAGGCGCCTCCTCGATTTTGGACGCGAGATTGATGCAGGCCATGGCAACAATCTGCAAGGGAGGCGCGTTTCCGTTAAGAAAACGCTACTTAACCGCGCTAAGACTGGAATGACACCATTAAGAAGCAAACCCGCGAGGCCCGAGGCGGGCAGCCCGTCCCATCCACCCCACCTCCCCCCGCTCGGTGCCACGCTCACCTCAAAGCTGTGCTTGACGAAGGACTTGGAGTAGAAGAAGCGGTGGAAGAGCACCTGCCCGGTCGCCATGGCCACCTGTGGAGGGCAGAGAGAGGCGCGGAGGGTCCGATCAGTGCCCGGCCCGGCCCGGCCGCCGCCATTTTGTGCCCCCCCCACCCCCTCCTTCCCTCCCTCCCGCCCTTCCCGCCGCCACAATGGCGCCGCCCGCCCTGCCCTGCCCTTCCCTTCCCTTCCCTTCCCTCCTCCCCTCCCTCCCGCCGCAAGCGCCGGCAGGCCCCACCTGCGGCAGCCGCAGCAGGATGCCGGCCGCCTGGATGAGCTCGCAGCCCAGGATGCGCAGGTCCGTCTCGCACTGCAGGTCCAGCCCGTCCTGCATGGAGGGGGTGGGCGAGAGCCGCTCCTCGGGGATCAGCGAGTGGTCGATGGTGAGCGACACCTCCGAGTAGAGGCGGTCTCCGATGAGGATGCCGGCGGGCGCGGGGGGCGGCGGGTTGGGGGCGGCGG